GATAAAAAGGATGAAGAGCAATACACTCTATTAGTCTTCTTGAGCTGGGAAGAAAGACGCCAGGTACACACTGGTATTGTTTGTATCCCAAAAACTTCATTCGCATGCTTTTTATTAAAGCGCACTAAACTGTAGAAAGATCAAAATTTGTTAAAAGTTCTGAAAATTACAAATTACTATTGATTCAGTTTTTAAATGTACATTTTTCCCTTTTTCCCAGCATAGTATGACAAATTATGAGCAATATCATTATCATCACAAGGGTGAGGCAGTTCACAACTCCAAAAATTCAGTATCAAATGCATGTATTCAAAAGAATTGCATAGAATAAATTTTAGGTCACATGAGGCACAGAGCAATAGCTCATTACCACTTACCCATCATAAAGTTAGCAAAACAAATCAGTTTCATGATAAAATAAAACAAAACTTCACAGAAAAAACAACATTCCAGTGCATAATATCAACATCAAGTTTTCCTCTAGTGCAGGTGTTATGCAAGCACAAAATTTGTTGAAATCTGAATTTCACTACACTTTTCGTTGGCAATCTTGTTCTGCTAAAAAAAAGTCATCAACAGGAGACTTCAAGTGTAAACATCTAGTTACTTTAGTGTGAAGAAAAAAGGGACCCCCACTAAAAGGTCCTGCTTCTTTTCCATCCTATGTTGTTCCTGTCCATCTGCTCATCTCTTTTTCCCTCAACAATAATTAAATGCTATCACCAAGTCAATGTGCATCTCTTTAACTAAAATTAACTCATACCCCAATGGGTTTTTACACAAATTATTTTAACTATAATCATATCAGCAACTGCTTCAGACATGATAATCCATTGAAGTTCAGAAACCATATATAGGCTCTTGTAAATTTAGGCATATTGTGATTCCAGCAATCTTATTCTTTTGGTAACCTACTACAGTAAAGCCCAAAACACAAATGTGTACTCCAGACATAATACTCATATCTCTACCAAATACTACAATAAAATGCATAGTGTAGGATATCTATTTGCATCAACAACATTCTGTAAATGTCCACCAGGAGAAGTGAAATATTTCATAAATAAGTTGTTGGTTTCTTTTCAGCGTATTATCGTGGAGAGACCCATTTGGTTATTGTGGTATTATACATCAGCAACACAAAGGCAAACAACGCAGACACTGAAGCTTCAACAGACACCTCGCATAGTAAGAAAAACAATATTTCAGAAACGAAAAAAAACAACAACAATAAAAATTCCACAAAGGCTGGTATCCTCACTTACATGTGCCAAGAGGAACTATACAGTAACATTTCTCTGATTCTGATACTGACAAAGACACCTCTGAGAAATCACCACCACCGTTATCTTTTGTTGAATCAGTACACCAAATCATATTTATCGTACTGTTTGTTCCCCAAGAATTTTTCACAGAGAAGCAGCTCCAACTAAGTACATCTCCTTTTTTTGGTTTTTTGCATCACAACAGACCATCAAAGCAGCTGAATACAGCCATTAACAGCTTTCATTCTCACAAAAAGGGCTGGCAGATGGGAGGGTGAAGTAGACAATACACCAGAAATCAGTTCAACATATAGTATTCCCAACTTGCCCCTTCACCTCTTCATTCTATTTCAACAATTCTTGTCTTACAGCTCCTATCAAGGCTGCGCCTGGAGAACTGGACAGAAAGTTGGCCTATATCGTTTCGAGCTACAGGCTAATAAAGTTTTTAAAAATCCGTTTTGTTCTCTTTATCAAACTGTTTCCATTTTAAAAAAGCAATAGTTCCATCATTTATGAACCATGCTTTTCAGAAATTTTCATTAATTAGACTGTTAAGTATTTAATAAGGAATTAATTTGAGGGTAGGGTATTTTTTACTAAATTGAAAATGTCTTTCAAAAAAGGACCAAAACCGATGTTTGAGCCAGATTTGCCTCCTCTTCCTCAGCTTTACACTTCAAGTAAAATTGAACCCTACCATGACGTTATGTTTCAAAATATTCACCACGACTTCCCATCACTATTAATAGCAGTACATGTGAACATCTACATGTGCAAACAAATCCTACTACTGGCACATTGTTACCGTACCTGCCATTTGGGTGTCTTTGCAGTGTACGGTATTCATAAAACTTTAAGCCCGTTTTTTCTAAATCGTATCTTTCAACCCAAACTCACAAAGAGCAATAACTCAAAAACTACTTGAGATATCTGGACAAAAATGTTTACTACTGTGTTCAGCATAAAATTCTAAAAGAGACCTCCCTATTCTAACAAAATGTCCTCTGACTTTTGGTGTCTTTTTTCAGGAGCACACACATGTCTCCTAAACAAACTCTGCTTCTGAACCAGAACATAAGGCACATCATAGCTATTATAATCTATTGCAGCAACTTGCTAAATAAAAATCTGTTTAAATCCCAAACTGGGCAATGACTATAACGCTCAGCACCACATAAACTTTAGAGAATACCATTACAAAATCTCAAAGCATATTTTTTCTTTAAAAATTTTAATAACCTTGAATATGACACTAAAGATCACAAAGTATGGCCACTCAGGTCATATCTCACAAAAAAATATACATTCAGTGGTAACAATATCCTGTTCAAGGCAAAAAAAAAAAAGTAATCCATTACATCTTTTACATGACACTACTATGAAAGGTGAGAGTACAAAATTAGTCGTGTAATTCTAAAGTAAAGAGCAAAGATGTAACAATTTCCACATTGAAAGCTCATGTTACAGCAAAGCCAAAGTTCATTTTAGTTGTCAACCTAAAATGGGTATCATTAGCAAATAAACCTTTGCTTTTAACAAAACACTGTAAGCTTACATATCAAGAGAGATAAATCATTCATTTGCACGTTTATACAAACACGTTTTTAAAATGTCATAAATAATCATTTTCAAAATTCTAAATGAGAACAACAACAAATGAAACAAATGTACTCTATCAACATCTCATTTCCTTTGTTTACATTTCTTTCCTTTTAATCAAAAGAACTAAGGTTTCTGTCCACCATGTACTATCAAATACAAAACGGAAACCAACACAGAAAGATATGAAATAGAGCAGGGGTTCATGTTAAGTTCTAATCAAAACATACTACTCTAGCAATCAGTCAAAATAGGGCTGAAATTGCTAAAAACAAATTCTGAACAGCTTGGAGGGGTAAAGTTTCAGCATGAATGTCCAATGTTCCTCAGAATAAACATTTTCAGTAGCAAAACAACTGTTTAAAATCTTTCCTGCTCAACCTGGTCAAAACTGGCCACACAAAAGCAGTGTTAGATTCCAGGCATACAGCTTGCTTCTCCCGCTTCGTTTCCTCAATGGTAAGCTTGTTTTGATAAAAATAGATCCCTGACATTAAACCATAGCTTGGTTTTCATTTATAGTGAGGACAAAAGTCAGTCAAAGCTGGCATCAGCAGTAAGAATGTACCGTACCTTAACTTCTGTTATGTGTAAAAGAATGTGAACACAAGATGGTTACTATAGGCATTGGAAGTTGAACAAACGGGTGCCTATTTTTGGCCTAGAATGTGAATAGAAGAAAGTTAAACCTTCAAACAAGAACAAAAAAATCAAAATACAAAATAGACAGTTTTTAGATTTTGGAAGCAATATAGTTAATTAATATACAGCACCTCATTAATTAACCTTATTCTGACTCACAGTGAGTTTATATGTGAGGCAGCACGGTGAAATCAGGCGCTCGTCAAAATTATCAAAGTGAAGAAACAGGCATTTTTCCGCAGGTTTGCGATTTTTTTCTTGAATTTTAGTTTTTTGGCTAAACACCTTTCATGCCCAGAAATCATTTCTGTGTGGATTTTACTGAAAAACCATGATTAAAGGCCCAAAAAAGTAAACTTTCAGTTTCTAAGGACTCTCAATCTACGGAAATAACTCACCTTTGGTGGCTATTTTCTCACTAATTTTACCTTTGAAACCAGGTGACCCCGACCTCCTTCATTTCCAAATATCTCGACTTCTATTTAAGATAAATGGATATTTTTAAAATCCAAAGCAAGACAAATGAACAAACTTTAAGATGATACCAATAACTCTATATGCCCCAAAACTGACGAGAGCCTGATTGCACTGAGTCATGACACATACAGGTATTTTGGAGGGTATCATTACCAGTGAGCAGATTGGACGCAAAAGTCATCCTGGATGGACAATCTGGTATACCAGACTTCTCGTTAACTTTTTGTAAGTATCTTCTACAGGCAACAAACTTATTACAACAAAGAAATATGGAAATCCTTTGTCCATCCTTTTCACATTTCAATCAGTAGGACTACTGACCACTACAAATACAAGAACCTTTCCATTTCAATGATAAAGCCTTACTTAAATTACAGAACGACTTTCTCTTTTAAAACTGATGAGTGGGAACCCTGTTTTTCTCTAGTCAGAAGACAACTCTGACAGAGGCAAAAAGACAAGCCCCCACCTAGAAAAATATTGAAAGTGCAGGCTGGGGTATAACATCCACAAAAGTACGCAGATAATAAAAATGACTTTGAGAGGGAAAATTAGGACATCAACATATTTCTTACAAAATGCCCAGTACACATAAAACAATTACATAATAATAAACCCCTTCTGAAAAAATAACAATGAAGGAGAAGAACTTTCACTGGCATCAATTTTTTTTAAATATGAGCCAAGATGAGCACAAACAAATTCTTGAAACCATAAAAACTGTAAAAGCACCAAGTGCAAAAGCACAAAGATAAATTCTAATAAACTACTTGTGAAAGTCTTTAGCCTGTGACTTATAAATGCATGAAGTTTTCCTGTTCTTGGTTTTAGGTTTTAGTATACATGTAATTTCACATTAAGTCTGACATATATCCAGTGGGATCTACAATTCAGAACTATGAGTAAAAGAACAAAGTGCGATACTAAAAAATGTAGCAAATTTTAAGTAAACGCACTACATCAAAAGTCAGCTCTCTAAATAAGTAAGAAAAACATATCTTTCTTACTTTTTTCTCTAATGGCAACTTCTCATATGAAAACAGGTTCAACATGTAACCAGCAGACAACCATGAATACTTTTTCTTCCTGACAAAACTATTGTATACAATTATATACACACATACACTATAAATATATAGATGTCAGCTTTTAGCAGCAGTTTTCTTTGGTCCCGCGTTCAATACCTCATTTGAGAAACCCTATTACTTTACTATCAAACATATTAAGGTTAATCGTTATGTTTACAGGAACTTTTAGTTTGTACATCAAATAAACAAGAAAACATCCTAATGAAAACATTGTTCTCATTCCTGATTTCCTGTTACTAATATCCTCAAGTTACAAGTTAAAAGTTACAGAAACTGATGTTAACTGTCAATGAATGTTAAAAAACAAAATCTTTACCTCAGTCACATCTCATTTGACGGACAAAACTTATCTTAGACTTTTTGACAAAAAAACAAAACAACAAACAAACCAGAACTCTTCAATTTTCATGTTAACAATCGCAAGCAAAAAAAAAATAACACCGCCATAACTTCAGCTCAAATTCACTATACAAATGACAGACATCTGAGCAAATAAAGGGACCGTTTAGAAGTGATCCAATCATCACAGTCTGGACTGCAGGAATTTGCCGAGGTCGCTTGGCGAAAGAGGACTGTAGGTCTCTTTTTGGGCATCCAAGAAAAATAGCGGGTCACTCACTTTGTTGTGATCATAGCCTTCACCTACCAGGTCGCCTTTCTTTTGTTTGAATGTCCCGGTAATGATTGCTTCTCCCAGGTGACGCAGGAAAAGAGGACGGGCATATGTCGGAAGCTGTCCACACACATGGTCGTACAGCTCCTTCAACTCTTGCCTTCCTAAAGAGCAGCCGTTCTTTAGGGTAAGGGCTGCCATACCCGCACGCCCATCATGGCCTGAGGAGAAATCCCAAATGAGACTGACTTTGGCAAAGAAAACCATTTAAAAATGACTGAAAAGGGAATACACTGGATGCAATAATCCAGTCCCACAGCCACAGCCCTGCGTCTATGCCCAGTAACAGAAAACCCCCCCCCAAAAAAAAACATCATCAAGAACTCTAAATTCTTTGTGAAAGCATACACTACTAAAAATGAAAGTAAAGTATCTTTGAAAAAGAAGCATACAATCTCTGAAGACTTGATCAAAATCAGTGTTACAAGACATGAACTTAAAACATAGATTCTTTTAAAAAACATAAAGACAGTGAACACAGCTGCAGAAATGTTTTCAGCTGGCTCTATAATTGTATTGAGCAGAAACTGTTTATGAAGCCTGAAAAAAATCAGTTCAACACAAGCTATCACAAAAACTTCAGAAGCACAAGCTAGGAAAGAGTTCTGGCCCCGTAGTTTTTTAATGGTCCCTCTTCAGAATCAAACAGTAACTAAACACAGTATCATAAACCAAACCTTCTTGCCTTGCACACTATCCCAAGCTAGACATGCTTTTTGCCCGAACATATGTTCGATGCCCAATATGCTCTAAGAAATCATGTGACCATTAATTTACCACATACTAATTGGAACTTTCAGTTTCTCGTCAACTTCCTTGACTACAAGAATGCCTTTGACAGTATGGACCGAGCAAGACTATGAAAGATACTGAGACATCACAGAATCCCACAGAAGTTGGTGAATCTCATCAAAAACATGTACGAAGGGACAAGTTGCAGGGTTGGATATGATTGCCAGCTCATTGACACCGGTGTGAGACAGGGATTTTTGCTATCACCTTTCCTCTTTATCTTGGCGATATAGTGGCAGATGAATAAAACCGTCAGAGGATACAGAAACGTCATATAGTGGACCCTGTGGACACAGTTAGACTATCTGGACTTTGCAGACGACTTGGCACTTCTGTCACATTTCCATGAACAGATGCAAGCAAAGATGTCAGTTTTAACTCTTTCTCTGCCCATTACCGTTATATCAGCAGCGTGACCGCACCATTTTCGCCCATTACCAATACATCGGCACAGGCTATACTCAAACTTTATTTAGTTCGTAAATACTTGATCCATAATTTTAAGTTTTGATATAAACAAATCTCAAAAGTAGAAACTTCCTGCAACAAAATATAGTGTCTATAACTACGTAAGAGGATGGAAATTGAAATTGTTAAAGTATTTTGCGTGGTGTGTTTGTGAAACCAAAACATGAAAGATGATCACACCCATTTCTAGTTCTAGCTATGTTTTCTGGGCCTGGTAGTAAACAACCCTCTAGGCATATAACTTGTCAAACAGACTAGGGAATTTTTCTTTAGTAAACTTGAGGACAAAGAAGGTATTGTCTTAGAATCCTTAGCTTTAGATTTTGCTTCTGCCGATGATTGAATCGAGAGTGAAAAGCATGAAAGACATAATTCGTAGGTCTAAATCTACAGTGACAGCAAAGAGGATAGATGGAGATAGGGAAGTGAATGAATATGCTTGGAAATGAAAGGGAAATGAGAAAGCCAAGAGAAGTGAAAATCAAGAGGATAATGACCTAGATCTAGGTCTAAATCTAAATCTAGACTTGGACAAGCAAGTGCAACTCAGTGCAAATTCTGATTCATTACAACTTTTGTATTGTCACAGTGATGTTACAAAATTGATCATAAAATCTGCTATAATTGCACAATTCCATACCTTTTTGCCTGAAAATGCAGGGAATTGAATGTAACATATTTTTTAAAATACAAATTGTATTATTTATATTCAAAGTCGGAAATTTAGTCTGTTTTTTTATTAGCTCCCATGTGACACATTTCAATGCTATGTTTTATTACCTTTCAAAATATGTTTGACACTACCTACTTATTATTTCATTTTACTTATGAAAATCCTTCCAGAACATACACACCTATCATTCACGATTGGAAGCACAGAGAAAATCGGTGAAAGCTGGTATAAAAATGGGCAGAATGAGTTAAACAGCTTATCGCAGTCTGTTGGATTAACCCTATCCGTACATCGTGTTTTACTATCGTATCCAACGACATTGGGAACTCTGTGCCACCACTTTCCAAAGAGAAAATTTACTCGTTAATTCGATCCGTAGGCTTTGCATAGCAGTCTGTCAAAATGACTTTTGAGAAAAACTTTAAAGTTTCAAAGAGATCTTCGCAATAGAAGTATTCTAAAATATGAAAAATACAACCCTGGGGGTACAAAATGACCCCAGGGTATATGGACAGGGTTAAGGATCCACCCTGGAAAGTCAAGGGTCCTAAGGATACATGCACAATGAAAGAAGCAAGTCACAGTGTCAGTAGAATGAGGGAGTATGACTGACACAGAGGGAGGAACGGGTGCTGAAGTAAAGTCCCACTTCAGAAAGGTACAGGCTGCTTTCCTATTATTGAATAGGATTTGCAGGACCAGGGATATCTCACTTCGAACAATGCTGAGGATTTTAAACTAAAAGGTGAAGTCAGTCTTGTTGTATGGATGTGAGACATGAAACACATCTCAGACTTGCATAAAGAGGATCCAAATTTTCTTGAACAAATGTCTTAGAAAGTTACTGAGGATCAGATGGACAGATACGGTCACCAACAAGGAAGTGTAATGGAGAACAAGACAAAACCCAGTAAGAGATGAAGTGGGAAGAAGGCAGTGGCGATGGGCAGGACATATTCTCAGGAAGCCATGCAGCTGCATAACAAGGAAAGTATTGGATTGGAATCTGCAGAGTATAAGATCACATGGAACCTGGACAAGAGTCGCAGAAATTGATGTATAGAAAAGTGGGAAGACATGGAATAACATCAAGAGGCTGGCCCAGGATAGGGAAAGGTGGAAAATGTTTGTTTGTGGTCTATACCTTGATGCAGGGTGAGAAAGGTGATAATGACTAACAGGTGTACAACACAACATGCCTTCGGTATCACATGAACTAAACAAGCATCAGAGCAACACTCCCTACCCCAGCCCCTTTTTAAAATAAGCAGCAACAGCACTAAATTCAAATCAAAGAATGTACATGTACTTGATCCAACTCTTTCATTGGTTTTTACAGGCAGCTTTTTGCAGTTCACAAAGCTCACTGTACAAATTGGAAATTACATAGCTTGACTATGAAACAAAATGTTGTGACTAGTCTTGCAGCCATCTTCATAAAATGGACTAGGTATTGCTCTTATGTCTAAATTTAAAAGAAAAAAAATCAGACTCAAATGTGTACTGCCTCTTCTACTCATTTTAGAAATCTTCATTTCACAAGAATTTGCAAAATGACCATATTTTCTTTACAGTGCAAATGATACACGCTGTTTTTCTTATGAAATGGTAAGCTAACATGGCTAGCAGTTAGGACTATGGGGTGTTGACCCCAGATCAAGACTTGGCTGGGCATAACATTGGTGGCCCTTTGTCAACTCATCAAAAGTGTGGTAAGAGTCTACATACCCCTCACCAGAATCACTTGTTTTTACCAAAGAATATCTGGCTGGACAATGCTAACACTCATGTCTTCATGAGCAAGCTTGAAATTACAGCGACGAAATTATGTCACGCCAAAATGATGTACAGATTTGACACACAATGAAGGTGTACAATCCTCAAGGGCTATAAATAGAACAACTGCTGTAACAAGTGACATGCTGCTTGGTCTCATACCCTTCCTACATTTTAAAAGTTAGGTTTGAAATAATGAAATCCAATCTCTGGGAACATATAGATTAATCAGTAAGAAATTTACCTGGAACACTAACTCCATAAACATTTGCATCTTCCAGAAAGCTGGCACCGGTGACAACATTGGCAACTTCAGTTGTAGAAACATTTTCCCCTTTCCACCTGATAAAATCAACAAATGCCATATCAAATGCCAAAAATAAGAATTATTCATAAACATGTAGAACAGCACAAGTTCAAAATAGGACACAAGGAAAGCCTTGAGGAAAATGTAATAGGACAATATTTCCCTACTGCATTCTACTTTCAGCTGGGCTTAGAAAGTATCAATGTTTCAAGAAAAGTAAATATGCTCTTGAAGTTGAAAAACTGATTTCTGAGGGTAAAAGGATATTTAATTAATTTTTTTACCAGCCTTTTACTTTTGATAATTTAAAAAAAAAAGGGAAAAAATTGTAAAACGTGGAAACGACAAGAAGATAACAAAGAAACAGGAGCTTAACAACATCACTTAAAACCTGCAAATACAGCTTTTGTGGTTTAGTTACAAGTAGGAACGGCAAATAGACACAATAATAACTGCATTTTGCACAATGGATTTGGACAATTGAAACACTGAAAAGAAGCAGAAGAAACAAATAATATCACAAAACCCACCAACCACAAGAGTAAATAAAATTGTCAATAAGGAAACTTCAACCAGTTCCACTCTGCCCTGTAAAACCTGGAAGGTTATTCAACATTTTCAACTAAGTGTAAGTACGGCCCATTTCCTGTATAAAACTGTCTGGAATATCAAAATTTTCCCCTTTCGGCGCACAAAATCAAAACGACCATCAAAGACAGTTGGAGAAAAGTGTCCATCTGCATGTATTCCCCAAGGGCGGAAAGATAAATTCATACCCCGAATTTGTATAATTACTAAAAAGACCAATTTACTCTATAAAAGTAAAAACAGACAGAACCCTTATACTGACAAAGTGAGCAAAGAACAGAACCCTAGATAGGACAGTGCTAGCTGAGTAAAAAGGTCAGTAGTTCACAAGTTTCAAGACTGTAATCAAAGAAAAATATTGACATATTGACAAGAAAATAGAGACACAATATAAACAAAAGAAAATAGTGCACCATTTAACTTTTGCTTAATACCATAAATTTAAAGATATGACCTCCCATTCCAATCAAATGGCAGACTGGTGTCAAAGAAATCCCTCATACACATTAATGTTAACAAGAATGGCTAAAAAGAAGTCCATTCATGACAAACCTGAATGTGTCTCCAATTCGGTCTTGAAAGTACAGGAAGTATTCCTTATCCAAGACGAAGACATCACCATAATTGAAGTAAATATCTCCGTCCTTGAAAGCGCCACGCACAAGTTTCTTATCATTCGCCTCCTTTGAACTGCGGTAAACATCAAACCGACCATTCTGGACCAATATGTCTGGCACTTTTGAAATGAAGAGCCCAGGTTCACCTGAAGGAAAACACCAACAAAAGCAATACTGATGGACTGAAGTTGTTTTTTTACAATATCACATTAACCCAAAAATTTCCAAAAAACAACTCGGAAATTAATCTTAAATCAGGCAAACAATGAATAACCTTGTAGCCCACAATGTGCAGCAAACTTCTTCGTTCGACTGATGACTTGTGTCACTCAGAGAACACAACAGCTCTTGAGTCTGACAAGGCGGAATACAGGAGTAAACCTAGAACAAGGCAAAGTACATCGTATAACTAGAATATTTCACAGGGAGCATCCGACTTGCAGATTTTACATGATATTGATCAAACATTTCAGTAAGGGTCAGCAAAGAACCCCCCTCCATACACACACACAAAAAAAGGTTAAAAATGGGAACTACCGAGTAAGTCCTGGGCCCTTAAAAGAAAAGAAAGCATTGTTCGTAGGTCATTTAAAAAGAACTCTAAATCAATGTCCACCTCTAAGATATTAGGAACTACAGAGGCTTACAAAATTCTTAGGCAACTGATTATAACCGGAGAGCTATTATAACCTTGGCCTATAAAATAAGCAATAAGCATGGTGCATAACTGACTGACAGCAGAATACTCTGAAAATGAAGCAAAAAAGAGAAGAAAGGATAACATAAAGTGAACAGAAAAACTCTGTAACTTAAAACTTACCAATACCAACTTTAATGCAGCGGCCATTCTTGTCTCTGATAGGAAGTGCAGTGCCATAGTCAAACTTCACAAGGGCTTTGGGGTCTGGGTCAAGCATACTCTGAAACAATCATGTGGAGAGGTAAGTGTCCCATGCCCTGAACATACACTTAGGATAGAGAACTTTTTTGCTCATAATATTTAATTCCCCAGTTTTTAGCACAATAAATTTTTTGCAGTTTTGTGTTTTGTCCAGACCGTTGGTAAATATACACCACAAATGTTTTTTTCTGTATGGACTTTATAGTAACCTGGGTGATGTGTTGTTGAAAGACAGGCTGACAGTCACCAAAGGCGCCTTCAGGCCAAATGTAGTCAAAAAAGTATAGCGAGACAAGATAAGACATACATTTTATAGATCCCCCAAGGGCAGATTAATATGTTGCTTTCAACAACTCCTCAACAATGGACAGCCGTCTTACACAGGTTCGCCTGTATTATCCCTCCTTGCCAAGTGTCCTTATAGGGAACCAGTAATCATAATATCTTTAACATTACCTTTATTGTGGACAGAAGAAAAGCCTACAAAACCTACATTTAAAAAAAAATCCCATACTGAAGTATTATTATAATACAATATTTTATGCTTTATTTGAACTAAATTGTCCTCATATTCCACAGAACCTACCCAGATTAATTAAAATGATGAACAAAAGGATACATACCAAAAATGGAGACAAGCGGCCGATGGCTCCAGGTTTATTTGCTAGATTTAACAGTAATGTTGTACCCTCAGTAGCACCAAAGAACTCTGCAATCTCCGGTATTTGGAAGCGTTTGTTGACCTCAAGCCAAATGTCTTTCCTCAAGCCATTTCCAAATGCTGCTCTCACTTTATGAACTGCATCCAATTTGTTCTGAAACATGCGAAAGCAAAGGAAGTTATAAATTGGCTGACCATTAAGTGCACCACAACAAAAACCTCACACTGAAGTTGGATCTGGAGGAAACTTTTACTTCAGACTGGTACAGAACAAAGAAATTATTTAACACAAACATTTCACAGGATTGCAACTGAGTGTCCATCTGTGAGAAAGAAAACCTGGTTAGTGCAAAGCCTAGAAAACTATCCAACTACCCATGTTCAGGAATGCCTCGCTAGGATTTCTAACCAAGTTTATCTACTTCCTTGTCCAGCATAAAAATCAAGAGAGCAAATAGTATGCCTTTAAAATTCTCCAGAAGTATATATTCAATAACTTCTTTCTAAACAATATACTCTTTTCAAAACCACACATCCACACATAAAAGACGATTCCAATACTTGAGTACAGATTTAACTCATGGGTACAGAGCTTCACATAAATAATTCTCAATGCGCTGAAACAAACTGAAATTATTAATTGATAAATGATAAACTTTATAGCTTTGCTCTGTCTATTCAATAAAATACTTTGAATTGTTTCTTTCAGAGTCCTGAGACTATACAGCTTACACCTTTTAAAATGGTAAATGGTACAAAGACAAATTTCTGTATGAATAAAATACAAATTTATATTTTGCTCCTTGTCATATACCAACAACATACGAGCACAATCATTGGTTTAAATATAAACAGCATCAGTAGCTGAAGTACAGGGTGATCCAAAAAAAACTGTACAACATTTTTTCTAAATATCTCGCGCAAATGTTATTCTAGAAAGATTAAATTTGGAACAGATAAACTTCATTCAAAAGAAATTTGTTTGACATAAAATTCATACAGAAGAAACTTATTTTTAGAAAGGAAAAAGCATAAAGAAAAAAACACACCCATAAACGCAAAATGCGACAATTCTTAAAAAAGACACTCTCGCAAGGAAAGTCTGATTTGATCTTCCTCTTCTTTTTCTCTATAACATTTAATTGTTCCAATCTTGTGACATTAAACAATATTTAACTTCTCTTAGGGAGTTAAAGAACTAACATTTTTTATCTGGAATTTCTAAAACAAATGCTCCACATGTTCTCCTTTGGACTCCAAACATCTTTTGACGCATCGTTTGAAATGCTCGATGACGGCCAAACACAGTTCCCGCAGAATGTATCTCACTTCATCACGGATTGCTTGTTTCATAATTTCAATGTTTTCAAACTGGTTTTGAAATATCCTGGATAGCCCCACAAGAAAAAAAAAAGTATAAAGGATTCAGGTAAGAAGAATGCGGAGCCCAAATGTGTTCACTTCTGCGACTGATCACATGATCTCCAAAGTGGTTAGCTAGCCACCTCATTGATCTGACAGAAACATGTGGATTGGTCCCATCTTGCATGAACCACTGGTCTTGGCGATCCAAGTGCCAGTGTTCCCCCCCCCAATCCATCCTGAATTTCTTAAGCACCTTGATATATCGGCTTGTGTTCACAGTTGCATTATGTCCATCTGTGTCTTCAAAAAAAAAAGACCCACCAAACCATGAGTGCTTAAAGCCACCTGCACTGTACACCATTCAGCATGGAGTGGCTTCTGGAGACAGTAGAGAGGTGGGTGGGAAGCCCAATATACAACATTTTTAGAGATTACATATCCTGAAAGTTGAAAATGCGCTTCGTCACTGAACCAGATGTCATGTAAGAAACTCTTGCGTTCTCCAAGGCAGTCGATGAACCATCAGCATATTGCCCTCCTCTGTCCCCGGTCAATCTCGCAAAGCGTTTGCCTAAAATGAATATGGTATGGGCCTAAGTTAAGATCTACTTTAAGAATACAGACCGTCGATGTGTATGAAAGTCCTAGCAGCAGGCATCGCCTGCGGACAGATTTCTCATTAGATTCAGCGACTGAGTTCTGCACCCTGACGATGCATAGAGGGGTTCGAATGGTGCGCATTCAATTTTTCTGGAGATTTTCCATTTTGATTTTATATACATTACACCCAAACTGACGGAACTTTTTTACCCATAGCATCAAAGAAGGCCTTGATGGCACTTTAGCATTCTTCCCGTAATTTGTGCGGAACTTACGAAATGTGAGGGATGGCGATTTTGTGGAGAGGTAATGTTCAATACAAAACGCTCTCTGCTCCTTATTAAACTGAACCGTGAGTTGGATAAACAAAAGGAACTTGAAAATGTCTGCATACTTCCGTTGGCCTGTTAGACTGCTGTAGTTTGCAATATGACGCAATTGTTACGACATTTTGTGGTAATGCGAACTGGTGCATAGTGTAATAAAAAGGGACAAAAGCAAAAAATGGGTGGGGGTTTTTTATGCGCATTATACTGCAGAATTATTCAGTGGAATCATCTAAAATGAATATCAGTCACATTCCTTTTGAATGAGCAATATTGTGTTCAAATTTGAAGACGAAAGCTTCAGTGTGGAGGAAAATATTTACGAGAAAAGTTGTTAAGTTTTTTTTTTATCACCCTGTATTAAAAACTTACTGGTGGTTGTGCTATCAAGTAGCGAAACAATTCTCCAATGTACTGGATCACAGTGACTTCATGCTTTCGTACGTCAGACCAAAATTGGCTTGCTGAGAACTTTTTCTTCAAAACCATTGTGGCACCTGATCAAACATTCAGAATAAACTACTCAAACCTTCATTTCTTTTCACATGAATGCATATTATCTTAACCATGAAACTGAAAACAATATATTAAACTGATTACTTTCTGATAGTGGGCCTGTGCCTCCGTCTGATAATGTCACAGTAAATCAATAAAAGCAATGATCTTTGGAATGAAGTATTCCCCTGCTGTTAATCGTAAGTCTATAGTCACCACTTCTACTCACAGCAGCTCAAGTTAGGGGTACATTGAAAACACTAACACATTGATTCGTCCCCACTTGATTCATCTTACACTTACACATTGTCTGGGAAAAGACAATTATTTTGTTATGTGGAAATATCGCAAAGACTGTGCTGAAATGAGCATAAAGCTGAAATAAATTTTTCAGTAACCATCCTTGAAACATAAAAGCTAAGATATCACTCATGCTCTGCTCAACAGTCAACAAAGAACATTAACATATAGAGTAAAAAGCTCATAAAAAGAATAATTAACTACAGAGTTTTACGATCTGTTCCATAAATTATATGCAAGCAGTAATTGGACTAGGGCTTTATGACGTGCTGCACTCATATTTAAATATAGACTGGCTTTGTAAAATAATAATGATGTTATAAATTACACACTAAATCTTGTTGCAGTTCCTCGCACGAGCCATAAAAGCTCTAACCAGAGCATGATTCTTAGAGAATTCATTAGACCATTAAAATAATAAAATGCTAAAATTTAAATAGCAGGACCTAAAATAAATAACACAAACAGGGTACACCATTATGTAAGAAAAGCTAAAAATGAGCCGATCGTCATCTATACCGAACACAAAAATACAAACAGCACATAACAAAACATATATCAACAGATGGCAGGTTTATGAAATGATAACGAAATCTAGAGGAAAAAACAAACTATTATTGGTTCCTTTTTCTTCTCCATTTAAAGGGACTCATTAGACAAAAATAACATTGGGGTTTTTTCAATACATTTCACCAGTCATAAGCAGTTTTAAAATTTTCAATCTACAAGCACATGGAAAACTTTTACTTGTCTAATCTATTCAACAAAGCAACAAAGCCATGAGCTGAAGAACCACTAGAGCAGAAATTATTAGGGAAATCAGATTTCAAACACTTGATAATTATCAATTCAGCGGAAGAGGGAAGGGGGAGAGAGGAGAAAGAGGTTAACAAACAAAGAATAAGTCGTGCCCGAAAATGCAGATTTGAAGACATAGCATTAGTAACAGTGAGGTGGTATGGGTTTTAGCACTCCTTTCAACACTGTAAATTAAGGTGTATGGCTACTCCGAGACTACATTTGCATTGTCTACAACCAAACCATGCCTTCCAACATGACATGCAGGAACTGGGTCCAGTAAAACTACTATGTGAAGAGATCCTAAAATGTACACTGGGAGGAAAAGTAGTTGGTACAAAACAAAACTATAGAGCACACTCATGCTGATGATATTGCACCTGATAAACAATAAATACGGGGAAAGCAAACATCTTTTACTTTCTTATGAACTCAAGAACCATTTTCTTTTGCTCTATAAGATTATCTGTATGAACAGCTTTATTAGCAAGCTGGAATCATTTAATACATATTAGATTTTAAAAATGCCACACTTCTGCTGATTCTCAAGATTTTTCACTCTTACTCATCCTAAAACTTATTTAGCAAAGAAATTTTACAAAGAGAATGAGACATCTAATCAATTTTATACATTATTCTTAAAATTGCCAAAATGGAAGGGAAACATTAAAAGCAGTAGGACTTCTAAATTTACTGGATTGTCTGGAAAAAGAAAGTTGAAATGACAAACAAAAAGGGGACATTTGTTGTCATGTACAGAAGAAAATCGGAAAGTCAGAATATTTTTAAAAACTCAAACAAATTAAACTCTGAAAATTTCAGAAACCGTATTCAAATATAAAAAACAAAAACCCTAAAATCATAGGGACAACAATGTTCTACTGATTGAAAGGATTGGTCAACACTGAGAAGGAGTTTGGGCAAGGTGAACAAGTGGGGGAGGGGAGGCAGGAGGTGGTGGGGGGGGGGGCATGCACAAGGCAGACCTTGGTACAAGACACCAAACATGCCGGTGGCACCCCCCGCACTGTGGTAAAGGGGCAGCACCATGTAAAGAATGTCTTGGGGGCAAAGGGAAACGCACTGGGTGACGCAACAGTTGACGCAAGCCTTGATGTTTTTGATGATAGCTGGTTTAGGGGTCCCTTGCAAAGCAAATGAAGTGGGTCAGATGTCAAACCAGTTGTAGTCAAATGTTATGAACAAAAAAATCAAAACTTCTGTATAATCCATCTGCTGCATCTGCATAGCATCGTCAACAACAAAAAAAGGGGACTAACATGAATTCATCCTAGCTTAGCAACTGTAGCACAACAGTATTTTCATCCTCCTAAACCCACAAAATTTTAAAATCCTTTATACCCTTTTACAACATTTCAACTCAAATATTCTTATCCAGTCTTCTGAAAACTTTGGCTTCTCGACAGTTGGTCAATATACAAGAGCAGAATTTTTTTTTTCACTTAAAATCATTAAAATGTATGCAGCTGCATAGCTTCTCAGATCCTCAACTTTACTTACTTCCCTACCAACAGGGTTTTGATCTTTCACCAGTAGAGCAAAAAGAGATCAGGCCAACTTATACTTATACAGTCAGAAAAGAAAATGTGATGCAAAACTTACTAGGCAAACATCAAATCCTGCTCAGCAAAAAGCAGGCTTACTGTTAATGTCAATATAGTCAGAAATCCCATTGTCTTTTTAAAAACATGTAGATTCTCTTGTATTGACTTCAGTAATTTGCAAATAAATCACAACAAGTTGAAACTTGAAATTGATTTATGATGGTCAGAGCCTCAAGCATGGGAAAGCAAAATGCACTTATGTCTAACAACATTTTGTTGAAGTTCAGGTATTTTGCTTTTAACAGGAAGAAATAGCTTCTGGAAATAATAGTCTGGAAAAAAGAAAATTTTCATACACTTTGAAAGCAAACAAATTCAAAACAGACAATAAAAACCAAAAACGGTAAAAAGAAGTATGCAAATATAGAAACTGCTCATGCATGGTGATGTGAATTTACCTTAATTCGTAACTGCAGACAAATGGCAAATTAATCAAACATTCAAGAACCTCAATGTAAATTTTTTTAAACCTGCCATCCGGGACAACATGTTCTGACCATAGCAAATATTCACTGAATATTCACTTCTTAACCTGGTATGACAGCTCCGAAAAAGCCGATGCCACCGCCCGCACTGTGGTAGAGGGGCAACACCGTGTACAGCTTGTCTGAACCATTCAAATTCACCAACCTCAGTGCAGTCCCTATTCCTTGGGCTTTGGCATGATTTATAAAGACAGGTTTGGGATTTCCTGACAAAGACAGAATCAATCCAAGAAATTATTGACATAAAGTCACCGCAACCACACATCAGTTCTTTATCTTGGAGGAAGCTGTCCAAATGTGGTGTCCATCGGTGAGCAAGCTAACAGGAAACTACTGCTCAAAACAATACAAGTGGAAACATCTTTAAGCAACTGTGAGAAGGGAGGAAACAAAGAATAAAAGGAATCGTTTTAGTAAGAGTCTTATGGTACTTGCAGCACAATAAGGTCATTTCAGTGCCAAAAATTAGAGGTGTTACAAGGGAGTAACTAACACAAAAAAAGGAGGAGAGATAAGGACAATAGATGTTTGACAGGAGAGAAGGAGCAAACCACATCGGGCACCTATTAACCACCCAAAAGGAAAACCCAATGAATCAAATGTTAGTTTTCAGGGGTAATGTACAGGACCAATAACCTTTTTAGCTTGCAAACAGTGAAATTATCATGCTGTTTGAGAGTTAGTAATCATACGAATAAGTTTCAGAGTTAGTGATCACTCGTCTACCATCAACTTATCTTTAGAAATATAAAGACAAGATATATCAAAGCATTTACACAACAGTTCACCTTAAGAAAATTACTTCATTTTCAAAGAAAGTTGTAGTCATAAAAAATATTGGCACTGATTAAAAAGGAAAAGACTACACTAAATATGTCTTACCCAATAACGCCAACCGCGAGGCAAAACATCCACATTTGTTCCATGAAGACTGCGGTTTTAGTATTTATAGACATGAACACATATCTAGTCAGGAATTTGGAAAACCAGATTTATACCTGGAGAATGCTCAAGATATGAATGTATTTCTAGCTTTGAAGTTAGAAACCCAAAACTCATTAGAGCAGATAGCGGAGCATTTCTAACTATGAAATCGGAAAGCCAAATTAATGAAGACATATAATCACTAAAAATTATAGGAAAAAAAATGAAAAAAGACTAAGATGTCATCATCGTTGCCTTTCTCACCCTGCCACGGACAAACACCCTCCACTTTTCTCTATCCTGGGCTAGCCTCTTGATGTTATTCCTTGTCTTTCCACTTTTCTGTACATCGATTTCTGTGATTCTTCTCCAGGGTCCACAAGGTCTTCCCCTTGATCTCTTGCCCTGTGGGTTCCAATCCAAAACTTTCTTTGTTATGCAGCTGCCTGACTTCCCGAGACTATGTCCAATCAATCGCAACCGCCTTCTTCCTACCTCATCTCTGACTGGGATCTGTCTTGTTTTCCAAAACACTTCCACATTGGTGACCCTGTCTGTCCATCTGATCCTCAGTAACTTTCTTAGGCACCTGTTCAAGAAAACCTGGATCTTCTTTGTGCAAGTCTGTGATATAACTGAACAAGACGGCAGAAACCAAAGAACACTTTTGTTAATAACACCAAAGAAGTACAAAAGTAAATGGATGGCCATGACCTCAGATATCTATCACAGACAAAGCACTTGAAGAAATTACAATGATGCTTAACGATCTTGTTCTCTTCCAAAAAACCTTACACAACTTCACAAAAACTCCCATCATCATCATCAATGCCTTTCACCACTGGCAAGGTACAGGCCACATACAAGCTCCTTCCATTTATCTCTGTCCTGGGCCATCCTTCCAAGCTCGTTCCAAGAGCTTCATCTCTCTTATGTCCCTTTCCACACATCTCCTCCATGTTTCCCATGGCCTACCCTGTGGATTCCACTGCAGCGACTGTCTTGTGATGTTTTCGCTGGGCTTTCTGAAGGTGTGTCCCATCCATCGCCACTTTTTTAGTCCTATTTCTACTTCTATATCCTTTTGTCCTGTCCTTTCCCACAGATATTTATTTATTCTATCCTGCCACTTAATTCTTAGGATACTCCTCATACATCTATTGATGAAAGTCTGGACTTTATTCAGTATTGTCTTTGTTGTCTTTCAAGTTTCGCAGCCGTAGAGGAGCACAGACTTGATATTGGTGCTAAAGAGTCGAATCTTGGTGCGCAGTGAGATATAGCTTGCTTTCCAGATCTTTTATAATTGATTGAATGCTGACCTTGCCTTGGCGGTTCTTGCTTTTATATCTGCCTCGATTCCACCTTTACCATTAATGACACTTCCAAGAAGGGAAAGGAGTCCACTTCTTCCAGGGGAGTGTCTTCCACTATCACAGCAGGGCTTGAAACTTTTCCTAGCTTCGTTACTTTCGACTTGCCCGGAAGTATACATAGGCAAACACTCCTTGATAGGCGGTTGACTGTTGAGTTTCTTGGTCTTTTCTTGCATCTGAGCATGTGTGTGAGAGAGCAGTGCAAGGTCCTCGGCGAAGTCCAAGTCGTCCAGCTGCTGCCAAGGTATCCGCTGTATTCCATTTCGCTTGCCTCTGGTGGCTTCTTTTATGACCCAGTCAATTGCCAGTATGAAGAGAAAAGGTAAGAGCAAACATCCTCGTTGCACTCCTGTCCACACCTGGAATGGTTCTGAGAGTGGAACTTCGTGGAAGACTTGGCAGTCTGCTCCATCACAAGCTTGACGAACCCATTACAGAAACACATACAAGCAGAAAACTCCCAAAGCCTGCTTGTTTTTTCTATTTGAACATCTCGGTCCCGTGTGAGGGCTAATAGAACAACCATCATAGTGCCACATACTGTTGTTATTCACATAAATTCCATCTATGCCAGTTCGAGTATCCTTTCGCAGGTGCACTAAGTATCTTTCCGAAAAACAAAAGATCCAAAAGGAGAAAAGAAAAAACTGAACCAACAATCTTATGATGAGAGTTGAGACCCTCCCTTCCAGATTTAATATGTTGTGACTGTGACCAAACCTTAGCTACATCCTGTTCATACAATGTTGAACAAGTGACACATGATCAAGACAAAAAAACCTGCAGAACTCACTAAAAAGGTGATAAAGACAGAAACAAATAACTCAAGTACATTCTTGATTTGAAACAGAAACTCCATGGATACCTACATTATAGTTTTTACAAATAATTTATCGCGAAGTTAGTAACAGACTCAATGCAAGTTAAGTGATACAAACGTTTACAAAATGATTGCATTCAAAGGTATTGTTAAAAAGCGGTCTAGAATATGAAGAACCAAAGAAATGAAACAGAAACAAAAGAATCAATTTAAAAACAAATTAAAAGGAAATAAACATAAAAAACAAATGTGCAGACTGGCCATAACAAAAAAATTCTGAACCTTTCAGACCCCATGGAAACGATTGCGCAGGGACTTAAAATTTACAGATCATATTGTCAAATTTTACTTTTTTAATTTTATCATTTTTCTTATAACTCATATTACATTATATAGTGCAATATCCGGATAATTCAAGAAATCCTTATTTTCGGATTTGTCCAGAAATTCAGTACCTCCGATAAAAATACAAAGAAATACTGACATATGATGTTCAGCCTTTTGCATTAACATAGCAAAATGACCTGAAAGAACAGACCCCTGAAAGGCCTTAATAAAACTTACAAACACCATTTCCAAAAACCTGCCACCAGAACAAGAGAAAACCATTTGGAGTTGCAAAATGTATCCGACCACAGTTCCATAACCTTTCAGAATACATCCAAACACGCCAACACCACCCCCAGCACTGTGGTAGAGGGGCAGCACTGTGTAAATCTTGTCTGTGGCACAGAAGTCCACGAGCAGCGATACTACCGAAAGCGTTTGTGTTTTGGCATGGTTTATAAAGACAGGTTTGGGGTTGCCTGTATGGAGAAGCAGGACAAAAATGGCATTAACCTGCATCACAATCTCCCAACAATGGTCACTAGACATAACCAAAGAGATGCGGCAGGAACAGACAACAAACGCAAAAAAATGGAGAACTGCAAAGGAAAAACAAAAGTAACAGAATCCATAAAGTGCTCTCTTCAAACAACCAAACGTACAACATAGAATGAATCCAAATTTCAGATTTAAAAAAAAATTTAGCAAAGAGTTCAAACATTCTTCACTACTCTTGCTATTGCTGTGCTAATTAGTAAGAGTGAAATCTCACAGAGTACAAAACTCTTTCAATACTCCTGTAACAAACATCATTGTGTTGTAACTTGATTTTTGTTAATGAAAGAAAGGTAACTCATAAAATTTTGATGAAATTCTTTAAACAACAACATTTTGCAGTCAAAATTAGACATTGATGCATTCATTCTTGAGTAAACAGAAAAAGAAATGTATTACTCTCTGAAACTTTAACGAGAAAAGCAAATTTGATAAGTACAAAAAGACTGACATTTGACACGCAAGAAGCAGGAAACAAACTGAGCAAGAGTTGAAACAAAAAGAGCATCATCTTCTTTGTGTTCTCCTGTTTGATCTCATGGGTAGTCAACTGCTACTTCTTCAACCTGCAGTGCAATTAATTTTTACGTATGCGACCGTTTTTCCTACTTGGTAGGACCCCTTGCCTTCAGGCAGCCACATTCCGATTTCGAAGGTACTCTACATGTTTTTATACTGACTAGAGTATTTTCTGTTTTGGTTAGAATTAATTCTCCATTTTTTCCTAGGTGGCTGCCAAAGCATACACTTATCGATGTTAGGACCACAAAGGGATCTTTAACATGCGCTGCTTGCACACGGGACCTTTGAAATTTTCCGCCCTTATCCGAGAAGGCTAGGAGTTCTATCTTACCTACCCAAAGATCGGAGGTTCGGCTGAAAGACAGCAGTAAGAAAGAGCTATGAGAAGCAGTACATGTAGAAGAGTCAGGAGTAAAGGAGAGAGGAGCCCAGAGGCCAGGGGTGGGGGAAGAAAGGGGAAATGAAAACAGACGAACAGAAAAGGAGGTGAAAGGAGATTTAAGAGAAGGAAATGTTTCCATCACTGTCAGGTTTCGAACCCAGGACCTCTTGAATGAGAGGTGAACACCATACCCCTAGACCACCACGAGAGCCCCTACTCAGTAAGCATAACCTGAGCCTAGTAAAAAAAACAACAACTAGTCAACAGGAACAACGCCATCCGAGGTTGTACATGAAACTCCTCCAAACAAATGCATTCACATAGTGTACACAACTGATACAGATACAAATTTTCAAAATGGATTTGTACCCAAAGTTGTTTTAGTGCTCATTTTGTGAGTCAGAAAGTGTATATCTTGTTTTAAAATTGTCAGCATTGATTTGTTATTTCATGAAGTAAGCATCACCTCAAGAAGGGGACTGCTGCTGACTAAAGAGGTCCATTCCATTCATATAACTGTGGTCAACACATCGAAGTCTAGGGTTCAAAACCCTGCTGTAGATTCAACATTTTTTTGTTGATTTTTAGAACATTTCTTTTCTTCTAAGTCTTTCATCCGGTGAGGAGAAAATCAAATGCTCCAATTTTTTTTAAGCCAACCGATTAGTCTAATAGGGTGCCAACCTTCAATAGAATAGAAAAAGGTGTCTACTATGACCAAAAAATTTTAATTGGCCAGTTTCTTTAGGCAATGCTTCATTAATAATAAAACATTTCTGTCCTGCTGGATGGGCTCAACATGCATGAAATCAAGTACTAGTTGGGCACCAAGCATAGTGTCCTTCCTTTAAGAACTGTTGGTTTTTGCAAAGCGATTGATTAAATTTGTGAAGCAATTGATCAATGGACATTCCTATTGAGCTTTACTTCCCCTTTGTTAGGTTCCATCCTGGTTGTATGTCGCACGCATAATGGTGGATATACTTTTGGACCTCAATTGTGGGTGGGGGGGGGGGGGGATCACCCGTATCGAAAGGCAAATATGTTACTACAGGCAACCAATGAAATTTCTTGACAAAATAAAAACTGAAGGCGTTGTAAATCTGTCCACGCTTATTTTACCTGTAGTTCCAGAAGTATAGATATAGCAGCAGATATCCTCCATGGTGATACTACTGCGCACAATGGGGGATACAGGAGTGGGCAGAGCTGCCAGAAAGAGTGGGTCAAAAGACTCCACTCCAGGTGGAGCAGGCATTGAGCCCAGCCCCTGTGCGAAAACTTTGATGCCTGCTAAATCATCCAGAATTTCCGTGACTGATTCAAGTAGGGATTCCCCTGTAAGAAAAAAAAAACATACATGAAGACTGGTTTTCCAAAACTCTGTACGTTGATTTTTCAGATTTTGGTTAAATCCTGAGAGAGAGAGAGAGAGAGAGAGAGAGAGAGAGAGAGAGAGAGAGAGAGAGAGAGAGAGAGAGAGAGAGAGAGAGAGAGAGAGAGAGAGGGGAGGGAGGGAGGGAGGGAGAGAGAGAGAGAGAGAGAGAGGGAGAGAGAGGGAGAGAAGGGGGGAGGGAGGAGAGAGAGAGAGAGGGACACACACACACACACACACACACACACACACACACACACACACACACACACACACACACACACACACACACACACACACACACACAGTCAGAGATACCATTTATCTTTCTCTAAGATATTTGTTTCATGACCAACCTTAACCCTAAATGCTGGGATAAAAAAGTAAAGTTTTTAAGTTTAATGACTCAATCACAACATTAAAAACAAAAGGTCTGACGAAGACCAACAAGTATTACAAAAAGGTACCTGAACCAACAATAAGCATCTTTGGATCAGCAGCCTTGACAGAGTGAATCAGTGGCTGCATTTTCAAGTTAAAATTGATGAAGGCCGTGGATACACCCAGTTTTTGAAGTCCTGTTGAAAGTCACAAAATGGGAAACATGGCAAATGAAGGTGCACCTCAGCATAATCTAAGTACACGATTAATTGACATAGATGGCTCCATTCGAAAGAGAAAACAGAGTAGAAAGAAGAAAAAGAAGGAGATTGAGTAAGACAGGAACGTATAAAGAAGGAATAGTCTATATCCTAAATAATATTTAATGATCATAGAAGTGAATTTGTTGACAACGCCTTCACCGCAACAATGGAGCTACGTTATGTGAATTTAACTACAATTAAAACACAAAGCATCCTTTTCCAGAAAAGTTGTGAAATTAGTACATCTTCAAAAGTTCATGTAAACTGAGCAAGCACCTGCTCTTACATGAATAGCTTCAACTCCTTTTCTATTCCTTTCTTTATTCTCCAGACTATTCTCCGACCTGTTCAAATACATACAAATTTCCCTTCTCTACAGTTTTACCGTACTTAGCACTAAATGTTCTTTGACAAAACAATTTTGAGAGTAACCTAGTGTGCACATACAAGACTAAGTACAAAACCCTAATAAAGTAAACCATCAAATTCCCCTGAAAATGGCATGGCCTTCGCAAAAGAAAACAACAAAAAAGCATAAAATAAAGAAAAACGTTTAAGGATTTTAAAAAACAATTTATTTAAACATCATCTGGTACGCTGTATTTGCCCAAAAATCACACAGTTTCAAAGCAAGACCAAATTTTGAGTCAGAAGACTGAAATCTACATAAAAAGATAGACTTCAGACTTCTTTTTCTCATATTATGACCTAAAAAAGACATCACATCGTGACTGCACTAGCAAGATGGCAAATCTCATTTTTGCTCCTTTTTTGGGGGACTTGGGTTTGTAGGGGTTTTTGTTTGTTGGGGGGTTTTTTGTGGGGGGGTTTGTGTGGGGGGGGTTTTTGTGGGGGGTTTTTTTGGGGGGGGGGGGGTGAGTATGTGATTGAAACTGATTAAGGCTTTTTATATTACATGTATATATATTGACTGCCCAGTGTAAGGATGCATCATACTTCACTTTTTAAAATGGTGCATGACGAAATCCTACACTATGCAGTACAATTGTTTCTATTCTTTAGTTGTCAATTTCCATAAATGTTCTTAACTACAAGACTTAAAGGTGCCATTCACAGTCCCATGTTATCACATGGAGTAGAATAGGGATGTCACTGACCTAATAAAATTGTGAGCACTAAACTCTAAATGTCTTGTGTATTAACATTTTAAAGAGGGCTTTAACACCTGTGAAGTTTGAGTTGTCGCTAGACGCAATTCTGTTTCTAATGTTTCACTACTATAAAATGTTAATGTATTGTCTTGTCTATCATTGATGTACTTTCTGCCGTCATTTTAAGAAGAAGTGTCTTTGTGAATCTTTGGTTGACTTGGTCATGGTGTTTCAGGCCTTTTACACGCCCCGATGATCATAGAAATGTCTCAGGACCTGTGACAAACTGCAGACAACGATAACTTGTAAGTACACAACATTAGAAATACAAATCCTTTTTCCTGATCGTAATCATATTGACCATGAAAATTATAATTACAAATGTTATCTCCCACATTCTTCTCACCATTTTGAAGTACTGACAGCATAAATGTAGGGCAACAAACACTAACAATGTCATCAGTTAGATGCAGTCGCCATGCCAAATTTTGACATACTTTTGTGAAATGTTTGGGACTCTGATGATGATTTACTTTCAAATTTGGGTAATTCTGTGCCAGGAGTAGTGAATGAGGGATGTGTCCTGCCTCTTAGGACAGCGTAAGTGGCTTGAGTCTAAGCACCATACACGTACAGCCACATTAACACAAACACTAAATCACACACACACACACATACACACGACTCTAAAGATCAACTCACCAAGGAAAGTCCACACAAATGCAGGCTCATTCTGAATCATGATAGCCACGCAATCTCTTGGGCCCAACCCCCGGGCCCTAGCAATGTTAGCCACTTTGCAGGCCATTTGGTCTATGAACTCAAAGGTATACAAGTTGTCCTCGAATTCGATGAAAACTTTACGGGGCTGAGTGGCCACATGCTTCTCAAACTTGTCAATGAGCAGCGAGGACATGGACTCCTCTCGTATCTTCATGAGCTTCCGGCCGACATTAATGATCTTGAGGTCGTGCTCGATCCAGGGAAACATGGACTTCCAGGCCACCAGACCAGCACTGGCTGTACCCGCCGAGCCTAACAATACTTTCTGATAGAGCTTCATGTTGAGAGTTTCTTTTTTTTCAACACCTGAAAACTCTATTTTTCATGTAAATAATTTATGCTTTTGTTAAATGGAGAGAAAAGTGTTGACCTTGTCTTTTGGCGACGAGCACACTCCAAGAGTACAGTAATTTGTGACAATAGCTTGCTGATAGTATCAGTATGGCACTCCACTACAACACAGCAAAAAGAACACTTTATAACATGAGATACTCGTTGAAAAAGAATAAAAATGTTAGGGCCTAATCTTCAAGGATAGAGAAAAGAAGTGGCACAGTCGTCCTGTTACAGGCTGTTGTCCTCCAAATGACGCATGCATAGGCCAAACTGAAAAGGTAAATAGAAACACAAAATTAAAGAGGGAATTACAGAGATGTTTATTCTTTTTGTTTCAGAAAGCAAATCAAGGATTTCTATGCCACTATACCAGCGTGCAAGGTTTTTAAAGAGACTATCTGTGCTTTCAGAATTTTTTTTAAATCTTGGTTAGGGTGGGTTATTTCTATAGCGGGCCCCAGGACTGACGAGTTATCCCTTTTATAGCCGAACCTTGTTATAAACAGGGATCAAGTTTACATACACCTGTAATTTAGGACTAACCAATGGGATCCTTTTATTACACAGATTACTCAACTACCAATTGATCAGTTCAATTATTGCTACTTTCTTTTCCAGTGATGTTTTTCCCCACATCTTTATCTTCCTTATTCTAGTATCCTAGTCTCATGAAGGTTGGCTATACATAATTAAAGACACAAGGTAATAATATGCTTGCATTTATACAGCACATATATTCCATGCTCTACAGAGTCTACATCATGCTCTGTGAGCTTTACAATGGCAATGTATTTGTAATCGAAAGGTCACCACATTAGAGAAAATGAGTTTATTCCCGTAAATAAAATTGCAGCTTAAAGTGGAGACATTATTTATAACAATGTGCCAGACCAAGGTCACGCTATCATGCTTTATCATTGATCACTGGATTATTGGACTTGCATCAATGCCAAAGACCACGGTATGGCACACAGAAGGTAATCGAAATGCGATCTATCATCGTGACTCTAAGACTAGAAAAATAACGACCATATTAAGAATGCCCAAAACAATGGTAAAAATTATGTATAGTATAGCCAACCTTCACACACACACATACACACACACACACACACACAAACACACACACACTGTGTGCACACTGTTTGTGTGTGTGTCTGTTTGTGTGTGTGTGTTTGTGTGTGTGTGTGTGTGTGTGTGTGTGTGTGTGAG